GATCAGGGATGAGCCTGTGTCTCCAACATAGTTTACTACCTCTGGCCCTGCTTCTGCTCATCAGTCTGCATGAACCCCAAGTAGCTGCCCCAGCTCCTGGGGCTATGTCCCCCTACTTCAAATTCTGCAGAGAGTCTGATTGGCCAGTCTCAGGAGTGAGGCATCCAATTACGCCTGTGGCCCAGGAGTAAGGGATTGGGTGATGCCAACATTGAAGCCATTTAAGGGAGGGAAAGAGAGGAGAAGAAGGAAACTAGGTTGGGAGGAAGGATGTGTGACACAGGCAAATGGACCAAAAGCTTTGCTGCAGTGAATGCTTTCTTTTGCTCCTCAGGCTGTAGCCTTCAGAAGCCCCAAGTACCAACTCAGAGCCTAGTGAGAAGCTGTCCAGCTGTTCGAAGGCCTGGAAATGGACTAAGGTGTCCTCAAGTGTGTGAAATGAGCACATGTGGATATTCTCCATCAGGGAGGCTTTACATACCGGCCCTGTTCCCTCAGAGTTCTTTCCTACCACACTCTTAGTCTAGACCTGGACCAGAGCTTGGAAAGGACCTTGGAAGTCATTAGCTCCAGCAGGTTGCAAACCATGTTCCATGAACTTCTGCAAAAAGTTCCTGATCTGCTGAGTTTAAGAAATCCTGCTTATGGTCTCCTCTTAGAGAAGAGCAAAGCCATGTGCTCATTGAAGGCTCTAACAAGTCCTGAAGAAAAAGAACTCATCTCCCTCTAGCTAAGTCAAGGCTGCCCAAAATTTCGCACAAGTTCTTTCTTTTCATAATAGCATCTCAAAAAAATGTTCAATGAAACCCATTTTAAAAAATGCCCATCAACCCGACACTTCCTTTGATGCCATGGATGGGCACCCTGGGTGTGAGGGTCAGGCTGCGGGTAACTGAACAGTGAAGGTTTAGGAAGCAGGGATTTCTTTCTCTCTTTTGTACAGGAAGCCTGGAAATAGGCAAAGATCATGTCCCAGCTCCATTCTGAAGACTGTCCATGACCTGGGACCCCATGGATGACCTACACTGGACCACCTTTCTGTTCCCTTCATTCTGAATGGTGCCATGGACTCAGAAATGTGATGAGGATTTTAAAGAGGGTGTGGATCTGTGGAGGGAGGTGACAGCACAGAGCTGAGCAGATGACAGCTGCCAACTGAAACATATTTCCCCAACAGTACTTGGCTGCTCATCCTGCATCAGAATCACCCCTTAACTCTACCACCCTAATTCATGTCACTCGCACTTTCTTCATACTCCCTCAGTCTGCCTTGAGACCTTCCTCTTCTCCTCCCTGGTTGTCCTCTCCAAAATCCCTGCTACTTTCTCCTGCAAAGATGTTTAATCCTCTTCTCCTCACCCAAACTGCATTCCAGACCCCTTAGCAATGCCTGTGAAATGAAGCAACTCCAGAGACTTATGAGGAAGCACTGGAGACTCAGGAATTAGGTTTTTCCTTTGTGTTTTCTCTCTCCTTGAACTGGGAAATGAACCCAGGGCTTACACAAAGAGCTATAGGTCAAGTCACTAAAAAAAAAAAAAAATTTTTTTTGAGACAGGGTCTCATGGGTCTCATTACATAGGCAAGTTGCCCAGGTTGGGCTCAGCCTTCCTGGAATCTACCACCTTAGTGAGCACAACACTGGCCAGGGAGTTACTCTCTTTCTGTACAGACCTCTGTGATGTGCTGTGCTGTGTTGGGCACTGAATCTGGAGATGTGAGGCAGGAAAGACCCCAGCCTCAAGGAGGGGATATACAGGAGGAACACTGTCTCCCTATTTAAAACCAAAGAGTGCCACGTGTGTGCCAGAACTCGAGGGATGCCTGACTATTGACAGCAGAAAAGAGCCAAAGAAGGCTTCCTCTAGAAGGTAGTATTTAAAGGGCGTCAGATCAGATGGCTTGACTTGGGGTGGGGACAGCCAACCAGGGTGATGCGGTTCAAAAAAATTTTCCCAGCTCTATGTTTGACAGATTTCACCTAAACGAGCCTTGCTAAATCTCCAGCCCCATGCAACGCATTTGTTATAATCTCTCTCTCTTATCTCTCCCTTGCCTTCCTCTCTCATTCTCCTCCCCCAAAGGATGGGGAATCTTCAAAGAAAAAGATGTGTCACAGTAAGTATACAGCCCAAGAAATGGGCCAGATAAATTATTAAAACACATAAAAAGACAGTGAGTCGTGGGGCTGGCAGTCCTTGAGGTGGAATAGCTGCCCCAGCTGGACTATGCACTGGTGGTTTCCAGAGTCCCTCCTCAGAGTCTGGACAGCCTAATGCCTCCCCACACAGCCCACCACTGTGGATTCTCACCCAGGGGCCACATGTGGGGGTGTCATATCTTAACAGCAGCAAGATCCCAGGCACCTGGCGGGCTGGGAAGCACCATGCCCAAGGTGGAGGGGACCACGATGTCTGGACATTTGGGATTTACTTCCCTTAAGACTTCAGCTGGTAACTTGCAGAGTTTTAGTTCTTGCTTTTATCTCTTTTTGAACTGTAAAAAGAAATTCCCAAGGGGGAGAGAGGGATACTGTTTTCTCATGAAAGAAGAAAGCTATGACCGGTTTAAGGAAGTAAACCAACTTTCTAAGCACTGTGAGAAAGAACGCTTGGAGTCAGTGCTTTGATTTGGTGTACCCGGGCTGGTTGGGGGTAGCAGTGAGAAAGGTAGCAACTCCAAGTGAATTCCATTCTCATTTGAGAGGGTCCAGATTTAAGAACTCAAGCCCCTACCTGGTGTTGTTTGACCCATTGTTCTGCTCTATTCTTTCAATGTCTTACAGCTAGGCATTCTGACATTTGGGGCTAGATGACCTTATTGGAGGACAGGGAGGCTGTCCCTTGCATTCTAGTGTGAGACTGCCCCCCAGACATTGCCAAATGTCTCCTGCAGAGCAAAGTTGCCACATTATATTAACCCATTCATTATAGTGATTGTTCATGCCTATCTTCTATTTAGTGGAAAACAAGGGTGATTATGAGAGTGGCAATTGTCCATTTTGCTCTCTGATAAGTATTTTAAATGCCTAAGACAATGCATACTCCACGGCACTTAGTATGTATTTCTGCAAGGGGGTTTTCTCTCTACTGGTGGGATATTAGGTTTGCAATGTGTTGGGGCAGCCTGCTGTAATGCACATGAGCATGAACAATACACTCAGAAGACTTGGGTTCAGGTTCTAACTGGCTTACTGACTAGCTGTGTGACCTTGGGCAAGAGACATCACCTCTCCCTGCCTACTAGTTTTTTCTCTGAGTCTGCATCCGAGGGTGTTATGAAGACTATACAAATAGGACAATGACAGGCACAGAGTAAGTGCTGGATGAAGAACTGCTGAAGTGGCCTTAATTGAAGTACCTACTTGTAAGAATAGCCTTCATTTCCTCCAAACAGGATTGAGGTGGGGGCATTGGGGTTGAAATGGTGGAGCAGGGATGGGAGTGGCGGACTTAGACTGTGGATAGAAGACACTACAGGGTAGAGACACTTATGGTTCTGGGGAGCCACATTGTCCTCAGTGTCCTTTCATTTTTTTCTTTTTTGGTATTGAATCTTGCTAAGATGCCCCAGGCTGGGTTTGAACCTATGATCTTCTTGCCTTAGCATCCCTAAGTTCTGGAATTACAAGATGAGACCTGTGGATGCGCAGAGCTGTGCTGCGTTTATAGTAGCCACTTGCTACATGATAAAGATCTCTTACAATGTGCCTGGTCTGGGCTGAGATGCATTTTGAGTGTAAAATATGCCTTTGGCTTTCAAAGAGTTCAAAGTAAAATATGACATTTTATATGTTTAAAGATTATTGTTTTGACATATTGGGTCAAACAAAATATTAATTTCACCTTTTTTTAAACTTTAAAAATGTGGCTACTAGAAAAATCTAAAATTACACGTGGACACATGATTTTTCTATGGACAATGGAGCTCTAGGGACAGGCAAAAAAGGCAGAGTGGAGTCTCCATTTTACAGAACATGAAACTAAGGCTCACGCAGAATATTTAGCCCAGAGGGCAGAGCTGCTCTGTTCACTGAGCTTGGGTGTTTTTTGTTTTGTTTTGCTTTTTGTTTTTTTTTTTTCCCACGCCCAAGCTGCCTGATACCAGGGGGTGCTTAACACAGACCCAAGGTGTCCCCAGCAGAGCATTCTCTCCGAGAACCACAAAGGTGGGGTGGAACCCCTTGATGTCGCCCTCTTCTCCGCAGAGACCTCCCCAGACAAAACAAACAAGCACTTGGGTCTGGAGAACTGCAGCGGGGAGCGGAAACCAAGAAAGATCAAAGACCCAGCGGTTACCCCCTTCCGGGCCGCGCAGCTTGGCAGCTTGCCCCGACCCCAGGCGGGCACCCACCGGCCCCTGGACGAGGAGATCTGAGCGATCCGCTGACAACTCGGGGCTGCGAGACACTTGTCGCCTGCAGGAGCGGGCTGGACCCACAATGGCCCGAGATGAGGTGGGGGGGTTTCTCCAGGACTAATAAAACACTAGCGGGTCGGAGGAGGGACAAGGGCGGGAAGTAAACGAACACTTTCTGCAGGAGGCAGGTCGTGGGAAGACTGCTAAGAGGCACTGCTGAAGGAGCGCAGTAGACGTTTGCACCAGAGTCGCTTGGGCGCCTCGCCTTACCTCAGTTTCCCCACCTGTAAACTGGAGAAGCTGAATCCTTTTCTACCCGCTTAGAGGAAATACAGAGGAGAGGAGGCACCGCACTATTAAAGAAGGGAGCGGTTGTTTTGCTGGCCCGAACCTCGGCACTTGGTCCTCAAACCCGGGCGGGAGAGGTGGATCGCTGCTGGGAGCCTTGCGGGCCCCTCCCGCACCGCGCCAAGTCCCGCCCCCGGCCGCAGGCCCCGCCCTGGATCCAGCCCCGCCCCGACTAGGGCCCCGCCCCCGAGCAGGCCCCGCCCCCACCCCCGCTGCGGCCCGCCTCGCCTTTGATGCGCCGCGCCCGGCCAATGGGCGCGCGGGGAGGCGCGGGGCCGCGGCGGCGGGCAGGGGGCTCGGCGCGCCCGGGCGTCAGTCGGGCCGCGGCGACGGCGGCAGGAGCGCGTCCCGGCGCCGCCTCGGGGTTTCTCGGTTCCCGGGCTGCTCCTGGAAGAGAAGAGCGAGGCGAGGCGCAGGGCCCGCGGGCCGGGCGCATGGCTTAGGGACGTCCCCGCCCGCCGCGCCCCCAGCATGGGGAAACTTCACTCCAAGCCGGGTCAGTGCCCCCGCTGCGCGCGCCGCGACCCTGGCCCCGCGTCCCTGCACCGCGTCGCTAACTCTCTCCCTCTCCTTTCTTTCCGGCTCCCGCCGCCGCCGCCGCGCGCGATGTGCCTGCAGCCGCCGTGTGCAAGCGCAGGGAGAGCCCGGAAGGTAGGGGCGCGCGGGGCCATTGGGGAAGGATGGGGAGGCACCCGGGCGGCAGTCGCAGGGCCCAGCGCGCAGGGTTTAGCTACCAGCACCACCCCAACCCCAACTCCCGCGACCAGACCCCCTGGCTGGCTGCCGGAGCGGTCCTCGACCTTCCTGCGTGCCTCCTCCCCCTCCCCGCGGTCCTGCGCTCCCACTTCTGACCCTAACCCCCTCCCCCTCCTGCGTCCCCGCCTCTGCGCCCACTCTTCACACCCGCGGGTCCCTTACCCCAGGCTCTTGCACCCTTTATCTGGTCCTAGCCCCTTCTCCGGGGATCTGGGTTCCCGAGCCCACGGCGCCCCTTCTCCTGACCTCAGCCCTCTTGTCCGCAGTTGGAGCCTCCCGTGTTTCCTCTTCGGATCCCTGGACCCTCCTCCCCTCTTTTGATCCATCCGCTTGAGGTTTCAGTGAATCCTCTCTCCTGAGGACCCGCTCTCTTGGAGTTAGCCCTGCTCTTGAACCCCGTGGACCTCTTGAGTGCCTTTGCTGGGTTCTCTGCCGCGCCCACTCTTTTCCTCCCTTGGGGTAACTTTCCTCATGCCGACTGGCAGGAGGCCATACTCAGGGGCCTCTTGTCATCCTGCCCCAGGTGACAGCTTCGCGGTGAGCGCTGCCTGGGCTCGGAAAGGCATCGAAGAGTGGATCGGGAGGCAGCGCTGCCCCAGCGGCCTCTCGGGACCCCGGCAGCTGCGGTTGGCAGGCACCGTTGGTCGAGGCACCCGGGTACGGTCCCCACCCTGTCCCACCGCTCACCCCTTTTCAGCCTCAGAGATTGATCTCCACATCTCAACTTTTAACACAGCACCTAGGTCCAAAAATCCTTCTCAGCTGCCCTTACTCCTCAGGTGACCCTGTGCCCTCCTGCTTTGGGGAACCTTGTAGGTCAGGCAGACACCTGTCTCCTATCCAGTTGGGGGCAGAGGGCTGCTTGGGGAGAATGTCCTAGCTGAGGAGGTGCCACAGGTCCAGTTGTTGGGGAAGGACTGATGGGATTTGGGGGCCTGCTCTGACTTCCACCTAGTTTCTGTGGCCAGCAGTCAACCCTACCTTCCCAGGGGTGGGGAGGAATTGGAGTTATTGGTTCTAGGGAGACAGGGGAGGCCATAGGGGTGTCTTGGTGGATCTTTTTTTTGGGGGGTACAGGGATCAAACTCATGACTGCGCGCTTGCTTGCAAGGCAGGTGCTTATGCCGCTGAGCTAAATCCCCAGCCCAAAGATCTGAGTTTGAAGTCTTAGTGGATCTTGTGGCCACCCTTACACCCCAGTGTGTGAGTGTCTATGACTTTCATCAGTACCGTCTGCCATCAGTGGAGAGCGAGGGTCCACAGAGGCTCAGCAGTGTCCTTAGCATGATCCACAGGAGAGAAAAGGCCTAGGTCTACTGTAGCCCAGGTGTGAGCCTGCACCTTTAGCCAGCAGCTTCCTAAGGTTGGAGTTGTTCCTGGAGGAGCAGTGAGTGTAACAGGGTAATGAGTGAGTACAGCCCCAGCTCCTGGCCTGGGACTGGTGTTCACAGATGTCCTATGAGCTCCACAACTGCACAGTGCTTTCAGATGGTCTGCGTGGAACTCTCGCAAGCTGAGGATCAAAGGATGAATCAACTTTTTGATGTGACATTTAATTTTTTTTTTTTAACTTAGAGGGGAAGAGACTGAGTCTCAGGTCCGGTTAGTTCTCTGGTCTTGCCATGGTTGAGGAGAGCCCAGTGGAGACTTAGATGTGTGTGGATTTGGGTGGTGGGTCCTGGCAGCTAGGTTGCAAGGGCCTGTGTTAGGGGTGGGCTTGTCCACTCATGCAGTATCTTCTGTATCCTGAAGAAGTACCCCTCTCTCCCTCTTACTCTTCTTTCCTCTTCCTCTTCCTCTTCCTTTCCCTCCTCCTCCTCCTCCTCATTCTCGTCCTTCTCCTCTTCTTTCTCCTCTCCTCCTCCTCCATGTTCTGGCTGGGGGCTTCTCCAGTTCTCTCTTGGCTGGGTTGAATTAGAGCTGCTAGCCCCTAGTGAAGGTCAAACCTTGGTGGGTGGGGATCACTGCAGTCCAGCCCATTAACAACGGAACTACAAACTTCTCTTTCTTCCCCCACCATCTCTAGTTTTTCATCTACTTATTTATTTAAAGGCCAATGAAAATGATCCAGTTTAGCCATATGAACAAATGCATTTGTAGCTCAAGAAAGAGGCCAGCTGAGTGGATTTCCATTAATCAAGTTTTGGGTTTTTTAGCCTGTTTATTTTTACAAAGTATTCCTGCAGAATGACATTTATTTGCAGTCCCTCCTTTTTTTTCCCTCTTTCCTAAACTGCCAGGCAGCTTTTGCTCCATGCTAGAGGGGAAACTTGAAATACAGCGAGGGCTTACTTCAATTGACTTTTATCTTCAAAGCCATAACAAATGTTACCCGCATGTTTTTGGTGGGTCTCCTTGGCATCCAATCTGAGAGGACGTGGTGGGGGGAGGAAAGAAGGAGAGGAAAACAAAAGTCTGTCGTTTTTAATTAAATAGTAGTGTTCCCAGCAAGAGGAATGCAAGCCAGTAAAAGTTGCCATTGGGGGAAATGAGGGAGGGTGGGGAGGGGGCCCCAGCTTAAGTCTGTGGCTTTGGTGAAGTCATGGAATTTTGTTGCCTGGTTTCTTCCTCCAGCTGAGGACAGCATGGGATGGTGCTTGTCCCCCTCTCCCCTCTCCCCCTGTCTCAGAGAAACACTGAGGGGTCATTAATATTTGTTCAAAGTACTTTTGAAGATGTGAGGCATAGAGCCATCGGCATGACATGTGTCGGGTGACTGGAGGGTGGGCCCAGCCATCAAAGACGTTAAGGAGGCGGGGATCTCTGCCTCCTTGGGAGTTATTCTTAATGGCTGGGCCTGAATGCCTGGCTTCTCACCTGCCTTGGTCCAGATGGCTCAGCTCCTGAGTCTGCAGAGGTAGGGAAGTCGGGCTACCCTGGGAGATGGTCACGGTGAGCCCAAGGTGTGGGGCAGCTCTGTAGGGAGCCTGGAAGGCATTTTTAGGTGGTACCTGGAGGAATATTTTTAATCTTAATAGCTACCTATTTTTTTAATCAGAAAAAAATAATCAAACCCATGATTTCATAGATATGGTTGCTTAGGATGAAGCCAAGTTAAAACAAATGGTGTAAAGTTGATTCAGAGAAAAATACTGAGTACCAGTGGTCAGCACTGTAAGTGCGAGACTGGGTGTTCAAATGTGGGGACACCTGGGGACAATGGGGGACCCTCTTCAGCCCTGTTTCGTTTCCTGAGTGTTGCCAACACTGGAGGGGTGGTTGGCAGGTTCTGCTGTGATATCATCAGCATGTAGGAGGGTGTGGGCTCCAAAGTCTGCTGGCTTCCAGGGCTGGCAGTGTCCTCCAGCCAGCTCCAGCCTGTTTCCGGGATGGCCTCTGTGTCTACTCCACCTGGCCTGTCACCAAGTGGTTGGGGACAAATTAATGGCTTATCCAACTAACATTATTACTATTGCAGTGACAGCTACTATTTATTAAGTGTCTGTGTATGTCAAGCACTTTGCTTACATTATCTTAATCTCCCCGTAACCTTCTGGAGTTGCCTGCCAGCTGGTGTGGACTGAGTTTCTCTCCCTTCCTGAAGCACTTTCTAGGAGAGAGGAAGTTGTGTGTGGTGAAGCTCTGTACCAGAACGTGGTTTGGGAGGGTGTCCCTTCACTCATGGGGGAAGGTTCCAGCTAGCTGGTGAGCATGTGGAGATGTGGTGACACAGGCAAAAGTGAGAGGGGCTCTGTTCTGTCCCCTTCCCCTGTGGGTCTGAGGAGCTCTATCAACGTTCAGGATGGGTTCTCATTGCATGCAAGGTGCCGGGGTGTGAGATGGTAACCATACTGCCACTAATGTAAGCCTGCCTTCCTAACTATAGAAATCTTTGAGGTCAGGCTTGGTTATAGTGGCTTGTCATCTCGTGCAAGCCCTTTGGCTTTGTGTACCTTAATTAGCTCTTCTGCAAAATGGATGTGTTACTACTCTCATTCCTAGCAGAGTTATAAAGATAACTTTTCAAAAAGAACCTGGATGGAGATGGAAGTGCATAAAAAGGGATTATGAAAGTATAGCTATCTGCCTCTGCCTGTCTCCCTTATGTGGAGGGACCCAGGCTAAGGCCTGGGCTTTTGCCTCTTCCATGACTACATAATGAAGTCTAAGGGCACGTGAGCTCACAGGAGAAATGTAATGGGAAATGGGCGGGAATATAAGGATTCTGAAAGAAGAACAATAGACTGAGACATGCACAAGCCAGAGAACCATGTGGTACACAGAAAAAGTGAAATAAGCATAATCATCTCAAAGACATAATGGAGTATGTTGGAAACATAGCAGCAACAGGCACTTTCTTGGAAGAGAAAGCCAATTGGACATATAGGGTTTGGGAAATGTAATGGGTGCATACAAAATTTTAACAGATGATTTTTTTTTTTTTTTTGAGACAGGGGCCTGCTATGCATTTCAACATGGCCTTGGGCTCACTTTGTAGCCCAGGTTGGTTTTGAACTCACATCGATCCTCCTGCCTCAGCCTCCCGAGTGCTGGGATGACAGGAGTGTGCCACCATGCCTGTCTAACAGATGATAGACTCGCAGGATGAGCTCAGGTGTTGGACAGGACAATATGGTAATGCAGAACTGTGCCTCTGTACTTGCTCATACAGTGTGCGTATCTGCATGTGTGAATTTGTACAAGCAGGTTTAAAACACCGCCCCCCGCCCCACACCCTTTGACCCTTTTGTTCTTTTACAGCAGAGCTGCCTGCAGAAATACACTGTGAACACAGGCCAGCCAAGCCTGCCTCTAGATCAAAGGCGGCTGCCAGGCAGTTTGGTAATTTGATTAGGGGGCACCTAGCACATTTTGATATTTAGGGAAGATTAGGAAGGTACAGGCTTGATCAGAGCCCATGGGGATGTGCGGGGCTGGGTGATGAGATTGGAGGCTGGCCCAGCTGCTGCCCGAATGCTGAATTCCAGGGGAATTACCCTTGAATGATACCACTTGGCACAATTAAAAGGCCCCATGTCTTCACCATATGGAAAGTGTTAGGCCTCCTTACGTGGTTTCAAAGCTATGTGCCGGGAGGTGGACTTGACATTTGAGGTAGAACATAAATTAAGTACTTGGTGTTTCAGAATTAAAAGATGATTTGCTTTGCGGCCTGTGGAAGACATAGTGTGGAGGATTTGGGCAGAGGTTCTTCTCTGCCATGAGCATCCAAGGGCAGGTTCGAAACCCAACTTTGCTTTCTTTACCCCAGAGAATGGAGAGGAGAGGCCCAGAAAGCTGAGCTGGTTCAAGTGCCAGTGGGCTGCTGGCTTCTTACAGGTCTGGGTCCCTCCGGCTGGTGATGGTGCTGTGATGTATCTTTGCAATGTAGGTGCCAGTAGAGGATTCAAGGACTCTTTTGTCCTTTTCCCTCCTAGGCTGGAGCCCCCGAGTCAGGTCACATATGTGTGTTGGTCTCCAGAAGTCAGGAATACCCCTGTGCATACATGTTTTGTCAGAAACCCAGGGAAAATCTGCTCCAGGAGGCATCCACTGTGTGCCTTGCAGGGTCTCAGAATGTAGGGGTGTTCTTCCCTTCACGTGTGTATGGGAGTGGGGAGAGAAGGTGAGATGGAAAAGAATCAGCCACCTGTGGTATCCCCAAGACACTTACCATATATTGAATGAATGAAGTAAGCAAGGAATAAGAGAAATTA